TTATAAGCACGATTTTTAGCGTTCGACTTGGCCGATAAGCGCTCAGAATCGATAACTAAATTCCGTTCGTTTTGGATACTGTGAGCGTCAATAACCATCAAACGGTAACGGTAACGGTAATGTGTAAATTTTAGTACTTCTGGATCATTCAGCGGGATTATAAAGAATTTAACAATTAATAAATAAATGAAATTTGGTTTGCTTATGCTTAATTCACATTAATATTAAAATTAAAATTAAAATTATTTAAATTAATAATTTAATATTAATATTAATACTAAAAAATAAATGTGATATACAACTTGGCATTTTTGCGGGATTATAAAGAATTTAATAATTAATAAATAAATAAAATTTGGTTAGCTTATGCTTAATTAATAGTAATATTAAATTTAAAAATTTAAAATTAATTAAATTTAAATTAATCAATATAATATTATTATAAAAAATAATTGTGATATACAGCTTGCCATTTTTGCGCGATTATAAAGAATTTGACAATTAATAAATGAATGAAATGACAGATAGTAAAAAAACAACTGACGCTCACGCTCACGGCCCTACCTCTGTGGCGTGAGCACGTATGAGCGCAAAATATGTGCTACGAGCATCCCACCATGGTGCTACGAGCGTACTTATGTGACACTCACAGCGCCAAGTCGAACGATGAAAGCGCGCTCATGGCGTGCTCACAGCGCGTAAGCGTCCAAGTCGAACGCACCCCAAGTCGAACACACCCATAGTATATATATGTTTACTATGTTATAGATAGATAGATAGATAGATAGATACTTTATTCAAATTCAACATTTACAATTTAAGTCATACAATTATACTATAATATAACTAAACTAATATCAGTTATGTTTATGAACAACTCTAAGATTAACCTAATGACAATTAATATTTATCTTGGATTAAAAAATTCATTAATTGAATAGATAGGTTGATCTATAAGATGTTTTTTAACGGCAGCATTGAAACCATTCATGCTTTGACTCTTCCACTCATTGGGGAGCCTGTTGTAGATCTCGACACCCAGCTTGTTCCTTTGCGAGGATTTCAGCTTCAGTTTTGGAGGTACAACAGCATACCTGTTCCGCGTGTTGTGGCCATGGACGTCCAGTACATGATTTGTTCTGTCTGCATGGACCGCAATCGCCTGTTGGTAGATGTAGAGGCTGGTAACAGTCAGTATTCTAAATTTAGTAAACAAGGGTCTGCAGTGCTCCCGAGGTGAGGCTTCTCCGATTACAGCCCTTACAGCCTTCTTCTGTAAATCCATTATCTTGGAGGTATGCGCCGAGTGTCCCTATGCCAATATTCCATATGAGAACACAGACTGAAACATGGCAAGTAAGCCTCTCTGGCGCATTCCTCATTTATAATGTGCCTAACTCTTTTGATGGCATATATTGATTTTGAGAGCTCAGTACATATTGAATATAAGTGCTTCGCCCAGGTTAGCAGGCTTCCATAGTGAGACCCAAATATTTAACTTCCTCTCCATGCAGCTCCTTATGTCTCCTACTGGAAGTAAAGTTAATATGGACAGTTTTCCTATTGTTTAGTACAATTTGTTGGCTGAAAACCAGTTTTCAACTTGCTTGTAGGCTTATTGAATTTTTTCATTCATATTGCGATGTTCTCGTCCGCAACCGCCAATGCCGTGTCGTCTGCAAATGCGTTGTGTGGCAGCTAATGTTCGGTGGTAGATCATTCACAAATATAATAAAAAGAAGTGGTCCAAGAATACTCCCTTGGGCAACCCCTGCATTTAATCTTGCTATCTCACTTCGTTTATTCTTCCATTCCACAAACTGATACCTGTTACAGGGTGGTATGATTGCTTCAGTTTAAGGGCTACGCCTCTAAATCCATAATATTCCAGTTTCCTGAGAAATATGTCATGTGGAACACAATCGAATGCTTTGCTGAGTTCGCAAAATAGTGCCCCACAGTGTTTATGATCTTCCAGTGAATTGATATAAAGTTCAAAAAGTCTAGCACAGCATCAATTGTGTTAATTTTCTTTTGAATCCAAATTGAATTTTTACAAAATAATTACCCATTATTATATTGTCTAGGAGTATACCCATGGATAAATAAGCAACTAGTTGGTTTGGTATTTAGCCTTGAGGCAAGTTACATGAACTTCCCGATATGTGTAAATAATCGACTTAATCAGTAAAAAATAAATTAATTTATGAGTGATTATAAGTATTCTGAGTGGATTTATTACACATCATTGCAAACGAACGAACGAACACGTTAACTCGGAATATTTTCTAAAAGCAAATTTTCAAAAATCAATAATTTTAATTAATCAATAATTATAATTGAACCAGTTTCCATAGGACTTTAATGGTTTACCATGTTCAAGACCAAGTACACTATCGTTATACCGACTAAATCATCTAATTTTATTTTTAACAAACGTCAAAAAAACTACTCATTTTCTCAAACTTTAAATTTTTAAAATTAAACTACTTGTCGTAAGGCCGTAATAATTCAGTAAGTTCTTATAGACCATGATATATATCGCCAAAAAAAGTTCCATAAAAATCGGCTTAATTTTTTTTTCAACAGTTAATTACAAGAATCAGTATCATTCCCAACTAATATCTTTCGTACAGTTTTTGATTTTTTAAAATCGGTTCGGTAGTATGAGCTTAAATCTGGACGAAAGGTTAACACTTTTTTCCAAATTACAAAGAAACGGCTCGGCCGATCGTCGCACAAAACTGAGAGACGATAATCCTCATCGAGATACATCAAATGCTTTTTAAATATCTGAAATCGGTTCAGGCGTTTTTGAGCAAACGTCGATGAAAGTTCTAATTTTGACAAATGCCAAAAAGACCAAACTAATTTTTGCAAACTTTGCCAAATTTTTAAAGCTAAACCAGTTGTCGTAGGGCCGTCATATTTTAGTATTATCTAGAAGACTATGGTATCTACCGTCAAAAAAATAATCATAAAAATCGTCGAATTTTTTTTTTTTTAAACTTTATTACAAGAAAACGGCCCGGCCGATCTCTACCAAAAACTAATCAGCACGATTCCCAACCAATATCTTTCGAACGGTTTTTGAATTTTCAAAATCGATTTAGAATTGCGGGCTAAAACGTAGACGAAAAATTTTTCACTTTTCTGCGATTTATAAAGAAACGGCTTGGCCGATCGTCGCACAAAATTGACAAACAATAGTCCTCATCGAGATACATCGAGTGGCTTTTAAAGCAGAGAAGTGAAAAGTCGTTCGTCCACGTTTTAGCCCGCAGTTCTGAATCGATTTTGAAAATTCAAAAACCGTTCGAAAGATATTGGTTGGGAATCGTGCTGATTAGTTTTTGGTAGAGATCGGCCGGGCCGTTTTCTTGTAATATAGTTTAAAAAAAAAAATTTCGACGATTTTTATGATTATTTTTTTGACGATAGATACCATAGTCTTCTAGATCATACTAAAATATTACGGCCCTACGACGACTGGTTCAGCTTTAAAAATTCGTCAAAGTTTGCTAAAATCAGTATGGTCTTTTTGGCATTTGTCAAAATTAGACTTTTGATCGACGTTTTCTCAAAAACGCCTGAACCGATTTTAGAAATTTAAAAGCCATTTGATGTATTTCGGTGAGGACTATCGTTTGTCAGTTTTGTGCAACGATCTGCCAAGCCGTTTTCTTTGTAATTTGAAAAAAAGTGTTAAACTTTTCGTCCACATTTAAGCTCATACTACCGAACCGATTTTAAAAAATCAAAAACTGTTCGAAAGATATTAGTTGAGAATGATACTGATTAATTTTAGGTGAAAATCTACCGAGCCGTTTTCTTGTAATTAACTGTTGAAAAAAAGTGTTAAATTTTCGTCGACATTAAGCTCATCCTACCGAACGATTTTAAAAAATCAAAAACTGTTCGAAAGATATTAGTTGGGAATGATACTGATTACTTTTAGGTGAAAATCTACCGAGCCGTTTTCTTGTAATTAACTGTTGAAAAAAAAATTTAAGCCGATTTTCATGGAACTTATTTTGGCGATATACATCATGATCTTATAGAACTTACTGTAATATTACGGCCTTACAACAAGTAGTTTAATTTTTAAAATTCGTCAAAGTTTGCTAAAATTATTATCGTTTTTTTAAAAGTAGGTTTGATGAAGTATATTATTTACACATTTTTTTGATTAAGTCGATTATTTACACATATCGGGAAGTTCATGTAACTTGCCTCAAGGCTAAATACCAAACCAACTAGTTTATCTTTATCGTCACTCAGATAAGATAATGATGATTGCAATGTTTTAAAAATGCTTTCGGTAATGCCACTATGCATTGGAACTTTTGTAATGTTATTGAATTTTTGAAAATTTTGAAAAGTTTGAATATTAAAAAACATTGCCTTTTTTGAAAATACTTATAGTTTTGAAAACTTAGAAACTTTTTGAAAACTTAGACATTTTTTGAAAACTAAAATTATTGTTTTTGAAATTTTCAAAAATTGAAGGGATGATGACGCAATCGCGATATACCTGCCAGCAAAGTACTTCCTTGATGAACCAATAATAAAAATATCATGCAAACAATTTCTAGCTTTGTAAAAACAGGTTAGTCGAATAGAGTTAACCTAATTAGAGTTGGGCTATAGTGAACTTCTACTACAAGAACAACAAATTTCTGAAGTACTCTTTATATAAAAAATGATATAAAATACATGAGACTCAAGAAGAGATCAAAAGTTAATTAATGTTTGAAGCAGATTTTATAATTATAGAATTATAATATTATATTACATAAATTATATTATATTAAATAAATGTTTACATTTACTTTATTGAATTGAATTGAATTACATATTATATGCATAGAATCGGAGTTGTTACTGAATTAATATACCATAAATTACAATTAACAGCGATACTATATATATTGAGCAAACAAAAAGATTATGAGGTCGGATAGTTTCACAAGTGTATTTATAGAGAACTTTAGCTTGATTCAATCTAAATCTGAAGTGTGGATCTTTCCATGATTTTTTAAAGTGCTTTGATATTTGAATGTTTTATCACATGTTTTACATTTATGAGGTCGATCATCACTGTGCTTTATAGAATGAATTTTCAAATTTCTTGAATCTGAAAATCTTTTATTGCATACTTTACATTCATAATTGCGTTCCCCGGTGTGTAAAACAAAATGAACTTTCAAATGAGCTGATTGAATAAACGTCTTATTGCATATTTTGCATACATGACGACGTTCTCCGGTATGGATGATTTTATGCCGGTATAATGCTGGTTGATATTTGAATGTTTTATCGCATGTTTCACATTTATAAGGTCGATCTTCACTGTGTCTTGCAGAATGCTTTCTTAAAGTAGAAAAATCTGAAAATCCTTTATTGCATATTTCACATTTGTACGGGCGTACTCCAGTGTGAATAATTTCATGTCGGGCTAATATGTGTTTTGTTGTGAACGTTTTATTGCACATTTGACATTCATGAGGGCGTTTTTCAGCATGAATAATTTCATGGTTATTTAAGGCGGCTTTTCTAGCAAATGTTTTATTGCATACTTGGCAATTGAAAGGCCGTTCTCTAGTATGAATAATTTCATGTCCATCAAATCCAAGTTTTGATCTAAATGTTTTATTGCATATTTCACAACTGTAAGGGCGTTCTTGAGTATGCACTGATAAATGCCGATTCAAACCAAATGACCGTTTAAATCCTTTATTACATATTTCACATTTATGGATTGTTTTATGTTTACTTGAAACATTTTCAAATGATTTGCTCGTATTATTCGTACTGATTTCTTGATTACATATGTAATGTTTTTGAACTGAGCTTATTTCATGTGTGCTGGTAGCCGAATCTTGGTACTCAATCTCTTCTTCCTTTATTTCTTCCTCGATTGTTACCTCAGATTTCAAAAATCGCTGTAGAAATATTTTGTTTTGTGGCATATCTTCATTATCATTAAATTCTCGTTTCATTTGAGGATATTCAGTTGGTTCAATTATAATGGTTGAGTTTGAGTTTGTTTCATTAGATATTAAATTAATTGACTTACCAAGATCTTTGTTATGCAGGTAAGGTTCTTCATCTAATATTATTTTACCTGTACTGATAGTTGCATCTTGTTCATCAACTGTTTCTTGATCCATTGTTACCTTAGATATTAAAAAACGCTGTAGACATATTTCATCGTGTTCTGGCAAGATGAATCCTTCATTATCATCAAATTCTTGCTTCACTTGAGGATATTGAATTGGTTCAATTTTAATAGTTGAGTTTGAATTAGTTTCATCAGACATATTCAGGCAATTGTTGGTTGCCATTTTACCTTTTCCTGGTTCTTCTTCCAATGATTTGTTCATAATTGGCTTAGTAATATCTTCGTTACGTACATAAGGTTCTTCATCTAACATAATGAAGACTGGATATGGCTCATCAATTGTTTTTTCATCAATTGTTACTTCAGATTTTAAAAAACGCTGTAGTAATATTTCATTGGTTTCTGGACAAATATTATCGTATTCATCCAATTCTGTTTCATAAGGCATTTTCAGGCAATTGTTGGTTGTTGTTTTACATTTTCCTGGATATGTTTTTTTCATATTATCCATTAAATTAATTGACTTGCTAATATCTTCATTAGATTCTTTGGGTAATGCATATTGTTTATCAACTGTTGCTTGCTTTATTTCTTCATCAATTGTTCCCTGAGATTTTAAAAATTGCTGCAGATACATTTCATCATTTTCCAACAGACTTTTTGAATCATCGAATTTTTGTTTCACTTGAAAATAAGAATCAAATTCAATTTTAATAGTTGTGTTAGAATTTATTTCTTTAGACATTTTGAACTTTTACAAACAAATTTATTTAATTTATGTAAAACAAATTAATGGCTTAGAATTAAAATTGTTATTTTCACGTAGGGTAAGTGATAGTAATCGTTCAAATATCGAAAATGAGAATTTTTCATAGACATTATATTACATGGGCTGCTAGTCGAGCGCAAAATAAGTGGTCAAACCATAAACATTACACTATAGTCCAGTCATAGGGTCGTTTTAGTACTCGAGGAATTGTGAAAATTGGTAATCTTATAGATTTTGATTTACAATATAAGTTTATGTATATTTTGTATTGTATTTGTGTTGTAGATTATTGTATTTTTGCAATAATAAGTTTTTAGTTTAACAAACTTATAAGAATTTTTTGATATTCAGTATGTACTGTTAGTTCAACAAAATAAAAGATTTAAATAAATTATAGAAAGTTTTCTCTAGTTTAGCTTCGTATATAGCTATTTTGCCATTGAAGTGTTCAATCATCTGTTTATAGACCTTGTTCGCTTAATTTAACATTGAAAATGTGTATTTATTAGAGAGAATGTGGTTAAGTTCAGAGAGCAGTCGAATATAGAGAGATTCGATATGGCGCGAGAGCAGCAAAGACTTTGGGGCGCTCATACTCAAACTATTCATTTAACAAAAACAACGGTCATAGAAAGAATTGTAGGAAATGTTGTCTAATTTAATTTGTGCATAGCTACTTTTATCGTACAATGAGCCGAAAAGGAGATAATTTAAAAAAAAACTAGTAGGGTGGGTGGCATCGTGCCTTAAGGCAAATTGCTGGAACTTCCTGTACCGTAACAAAATGTTCGAGGAATATTGAATGTTTTCAAATAGATTATTATAAATATTGTAACATTGTCTAATATTTATAAGAATTATATAAACTGAATTGCAGAGTTGAAATTATTTGTTTAAAGTATATTAGAACTATAGTCAGAATTAAAAATAAAATCTGAATTATTTTCGATATACACAGAATTTAAAAAAAAAAAAAAAAATTAAACAATTTTTTTTTTCCAAAATCAATTATTTTGTTAAGACAAGCAGAAAGTTCTTTGAATCAATTGAATCGGACGCTTAGTTCTCTCAAAAACTGCCATTTTTTGTACATTTAGCTCTGTATCTCCGAAATGGATGGGCCTGCCTTTGCGAAAAACTAATAACCCCTTCTCCCAATCATTACTAATTGAATGTTTTTTAGATCATTCAAATCGGATGCTCCGTTCTCTCAAAAACTCGATTTCTATTTTCTACACTCTTTGCTCCTTATATCCGTAACTGCTGGACCTGTCTTTGCCAAAAACTAATCAGCACATCTCCTTATCAATAGGAATCGAATGTTTTTTAAATCATTCAAATCGGTTGAACCGTACGCCCGAAAACGTGGGCGAAAATTTGTATCCATACATACATGCACACACATACACACACATCCATTTTTTCTGAAGTATGCCAAAATATTCAGAAACCTTCAAAACGTCGAGAAATGTAAAAATTTTCAATTCCGATTTTCGGCCTATTACAATAACTTACCCTACGGGAAATTAAAAAAACTGCTTTTTTATGCTATTTTTCCAATAGACTGTATAATAATATGATGGCAGCGACTTGCCGTGAAAATTTGAGGTGGCAACGTTAAAATTCGTAAAGAACACCTCAAAATCTAAAAGATCACAAATTTTCAGAATTCCCCGAGTATTATACCGGCAACAGCCTTTTTTGCACCAAATGACTGGACTACTTATTTATCTATGACTTGCTACCATAAACCATAAATAAATACAGGGTCTATTATCTCAGAACAAAATCCGCGTTCAGAAGGGCTACTTAGGGGTATTGTCAAATGTGTTATGTTAGTTACTACAAAACGTCAGTGTTATTTTTGTGTAAGTTAACAAAATGTGTTTTTTTTTTCGTTTGTATTTGCACATTTTTGTTAATAAAAAATTCATTATGAATTGCACTCAAATACATAACCCTTCGACACTATGAATAGAACAGCTTCAAACTCAGATACAGGACAATTATATACATACCTACATATATATTATATACATATGTATTACATACATAGACATTATATAGTATACATTAGTCTCACCATATTAAACTTTAAAGAAAGAGGCCGGTTGTAGGAAACTATGTAAGAAATCAAGTATAAGCTTCTACAAGAAAGACAAAATATTCAGAATACGCTCAGCTTTTCAAAATTAGATTGCCACTTGACACGGATCTGATTATACTTGGAAGAAAATAAATTGCTTAAGAATGTCAAATTGGTTAAAAAGAGTTAAGTGTGACAGACAATGTAATGAACTAACACTATAATTCACTAAATTTCATTAAATATTTATATTAATGAATTTAAAAAAAGTATAAAAATTATTCCTGTTGATTAGGTGTAATGTATTTTTAAATCAGCAATGTGTTTGTTGATTTATATTTCGATTTGATTATCTTGTATATTTTTGTTATAATTGTATTATTACAAAACATAATGCAACTGTAATACCAAATTTAGTTTCAAATACCCAATCACTAAAACTCATTCATTTTCATTTCAAATTTTGCGCCATTAATTTGAATGCCAAAAACAGCGCTTTCACTGAGTGGAGGACCCTTAAAGTGTCCCTTCTGAACGTAAAAATCGAGAAAGAGAAACGTCTATATGATAATAAATAAGCATAATGGTATTAAAGTATTTAAAGTTATAATTACTTGGCTTTGTCCTCGGTGTTGCAGATTGTTCTCCTTTTGCATCAAAACATTCTCTAGCGACCTGAGAACAATTCTGTAACTGCAGTGAAGGAGACACTTCTAATTGGTAATCTTCCATAAAGTTTGAAGAAACTTAAAAAGCAAGCATATTATTATATAAATTATTAGAAAAAATATAGAACACTTGATTTAAAGATGCAACTACATCATTTAAAATAAATATCTAATCAACTTGTATTTAATTACCCAAGGGTGTATTATTATTTGTTGACAAACGGTATGCCCCTGTCTTTATATTCTTATCACGAATCGACACACCAAGTTCTAAAATAATATAAGGTTTTTAAAATCTATCGAATACATATATGAATCTTATCATTATCCTTACGGAATGTAGCTCTATCCATAAGACAATTCTTCTCTAAGTATGGGTCTCCAGTGAATCCTATAAATACCAAGCAAAATATGAATTCAGCATTTCCATTAAAAACAATTCATTCGATCACATATTATAATTCAGACCTGGCATATTTAGAGTAGGTAGGGCATTAACTTTTAGATTTGTCTTTGCATTTGTTGTCAAATATTCGAGTTTGCAAATATTTGTGAAGTGCGCGTCACAAATATGTCGATTTTTGCCACAAACCGAAGGGGTTACCTCATCCAATAGAGGATTATTCGCCCTCTTCACCCAAATTGAAAACATCTAGAACATTTTCATAGTATTTTCATCATACATATTCATTATGTGAACATAATACATCATTATATATACATACTTGATCATTAGATGCTGGAAAGACATGCATCTTTTTATTAGTTGTGGAGTTACTACAATTTGGTACCCTGCACTTCACCATTTTAACTTTAATAATAATTTAAAAAAAGAAAAAGAATCACCAAAACACGTATAACAGCAATGTATAACAGAACTACAAGAAGCAATGACAACTTAGACAGAAAATGGCGGTCAAATGTAGTAGCGCCATCCTTCGATCAATTCGAATACTAATCCATTTTAAAATTTATTAAGGTGCGTCCACACCTAGCGAACGAGCACTAACGAACATGGATTTTGACATGCGCGTGGGTCGCTTTTGTTAAGCCGGCCACAGACGTAACAGTATGCATGTGCAACTGAATGAATGCGCAACCAGGCGTATTTTCACAGTGCCCACAGACAGATCAAGTTTATGTTCAAGTATTTGCGCAAGCATATCACAAATGTCAACTGAGAAACGTCAAGACATAACCTAAAAATATATCTCTTTTATTAATTTATATATTTACAGCATCAGAAGAGAATTCAAAGTGTTCAGAGCGCTTATTTAATAACTTTTTAATTGTCGATTACTTCATAAACTTGTATTATGAATTTGCTACAAAGTAAAATATAAACCGGACATGTGCTGCCACACGCGGCCAACGAATGAACTTGCCGACTTGAATGATTGCGCAATAAAAATAATCGAAAAGTGCTCATGTCTGCTCGCTTGCACCAGTCTGTCAAGTTGCGCAAAAAACACCCCACAGACCACCACAGACGTTACAGAATACATGTGCAAGTCGCAGGTTGCGCAAGTATACAGTTACGTCTGTGGCCGGCTTTAGAAATTTTTAATCTGCGCATATTATTCATCATGTTCGTTCGTTAGGTGTGGAGCACCTTTACCGGCCATGATATAGACTGCTAGTCCTCATATGTTTTCCGTTGTACATAGTACTCAAACATAGAAGGGACTGTGACGTCACATGTCTGAGCGAACAATGCCGACGACAATCGCGGACTCTCCCGATTGATCAAATATGTGCCTAACATAGGCCTTATAATATATAAACCGATTCTAACAGGTGGATTTGATTTTATGTACATTTATTTCACAAGGAAAATATTATAAATATGATTTCTTACAAAATTATCAGCCATCACAATTACCATCTTATCTTATATATAAAAATGGATCGCAAAATGTGTTGGTAAGCGCATAACTCAACAACGCCTGCACCAATTTGGCCAATTCTTTTTTTAAAATGTTCGTTGATGTCAAAGAATGGTTCTTACTGCGAGAAAAAATGGAATAATTGCCGGGGAAACCATAAAAAGAGTCCTTTTCTTTTTCTCATACAAACGTTTTCTCACTAAGACGTAGAATTAATTTGAGCTTTATTGCTATTAAAGTACATATTGAATTACAAGCACTTACCGTATACTCCTTTTAAACGATTATTCGGATTTTGATAAATCTTTCTGAAGTATGTTAAGGAAATTTTCTGGAATGTATGTGATTATAAAGTACTGGGATGTATGTGCAATATTGTAGAAATAAATGGAAAAAAATGCAAAAAACGACATGTCATTGTTTGCATTGAACACATATGAAAACTATCATCTGCCAAAAATTTCAATTTACTTATGAGCCTAGACAATATTAGAATATGTATAATAAATTTATGATTATGAATGAGAAAAACTACATTATATTGCCAAAAAGCGGCTGAGATGTGCCAGAAATTAAAATAATATAAAATACAGTATATGTATGACATATGAACAGGATATGACAAAATAATTAATGATGCATGCAAAAAATACGAGCGCACGCCTTAGGGGCGCCAACACAAGTTTCGGATATTAAATTTTCAATATAGTTTTTTTTTAATATATAATTTCTTTGCATCTTTTACTAACCTTTCACAATATTTTTAAAATTCGTAAAAATTTCACTTTATAACAACAAATGGGAAAGTAAACATGAATACATACAATTCAGCCCTCACGATATCGATTAGGAGAAGTTTAAGGTGCAATTTTGAATATCTTAAATAATAAAAAATTAAATTAATATGATCCAACATGAAGTACCAGTGACATGTTATGGTTATGGTTATGTTACACCGTTTAAAAGACTTCAATTTCCAATATAGTGTGGGAATTGAGACTCATCATTTTATTCTACATTTAACATCGCTCATATTATAAATATATATATATTCATTTTGGAGTGAAGAGTAATTTAAAAAACAATATTATTATTTTTAGGTAAACGCGTTTAATATTAGTATATTATATTAAAAATTGTATACATGGGTACAGGACAATGTCTGTCGGGTCATCTAGTTAAATCAATAAAATTAAACATATGACATATGACATTTAATCAATCGGGAAATTCCGCGATTGTCGGCAACGTTCGCTCAGCAAGTGACGTCACAGTCCTTTTTATGTTTGAGCACATATTTTGTGCTCGATTAGCAGTCTATGTAGCATAAGGTCTATGGAATTTTTGCATATCTTTACGCTTGAAGTCCTCCTGAACGCCATAGGAAAAATGTATATATATATGTATTATGTGTGAATACAATTTTTCGTCGACATTTTTTAGTTGAGCTTTACAGTCTAAAGAGTCGTCGTTGGTTGGTTGGTTTTCTTTAACGGTGTACCATTATTATTTGAAAGACAATCTAACCTGTCGGTTTAGATTCATTTTGACTTCTTCCTCTTTTACCACCTCCTATTATTGTAAACTAATGTTTTTCAATTATTTGCTAATTATTTATTAACATCCCGTAGGGTAAGTTATAGTAATTGTCCAACAATTAAAAATTAAAAATTTTGCATATCTTTACGTTTCAGAGGTTTCTGAACATTTACCTTAAAAAATGGATGTGTGTATACAATTTTCATATAATATTTTTTTATTGTAAATTATTGGTTTCATATTATATTTTTCTAGAGTATAAAATCTAACAAAGAAGCTCCGCTCCATCGATTTGAATGATCTGATTCTTACTGAATGGGGGGTCCAGGCGTTTGGAGATGAAAAGCAAATGGAGCAGAAAATGACAGATTATGAGAGTACGAGTAAAAACATTTTATTTCTACTGACATAATTATTATTTTTTTAAGGCAGGTCCAGCGGTTTCTACATTGCAGTCAAAAAATAGACAAATAGGCAACTAGAAATATAGACTGGTAGACGAGGTCAAAGATAAACAGATTGAAAAGTAGCCAGGTAGACAGGTGGATAAGTAGACAAGAAGACACGTAAGCAAATAGACATATAGGGAGGCGTGGGGAATCAAGCAGGCATTTATAACGATTTCCTACACTGGTGACCTACGACGTTTGTGATGAAGACAGAGAAGGATCATGAATCTGAAATTTTAAAAAATGTAGACTTTGATGCAGCACCATAATCACTGGTCTTCCATGACTACTTATAAGGTACGTCCAGTCCTCGGGTCAGTGCGAGTTAACTCATTTACTCTACTGACACCGGACTTCTGTTGGTATACCCATTTTGTATACCCAGACCTCAGTGTTTATTGCTGACACGAAAATTGATTCTGAGCATAGACTTTGGGTCAAGAAATGTCATATTTTCACCAAATAAAAAAGATAATTTTCAAACTATGTGAGATAATTTATTATTCTTATTTTTTTCATGATAGTTACTATCAATACTATCACAAAAAAGATTAGGAATATATGGTCCTAAAATATTATAGACCTGAGAAGTTTCGCACGGAACAACTCCACGCGCAATATATTTTATAATAAAACTTAGAACTTAAATAAAATTTAATTTACAAAACTTACAAACAATGTACCCTTAACTTAATTTCTATTTATCAGATTTCGATGTGTCGTTGGGAAAGCCCCAAACTTTCAATGTTCCTGCATCTCGTTTTCTGTCGTACGTACTCGACATGTCTTTGTCGTCGCAGGCGTATGCTAATAAATATTGTTTCGGATGCCAGGCAACAGTAAACGTGGCCGCGTCCACGGAGATGTCCGCTATCTTTTCACCTGGAAAAGGATAAATCAATTGTAAATATATTTAAAAATTATATAAGGTAAAGGCAAATGAAGGAAAAACAAATCTAATCTTGTTTTTGTTTTGGAACTTGTCGTAGGGTAAGTTATAGTAATCGCCCAAAAATCGAAAATATTTTTTTTTGCATAGCTATACGTTTCAAAGGTTTCTGAACATTTTAGCATACCTGAAAAAATTGATGTGTGTATGTATGTGTGGTTACAATTTTTCGTCCATGTTTTCAGGAACACGGATCAACCGATTTGAAGACTTCAAAAAACATTCGATTGTTATTGAAGGGGAAGCGTGCTGATTAGCTTTTAGCAAATTTCGGAGATAAGCAACAAAAAGTGCAAAAAAAAAGAAATTTAGTTTTTGCGATAACGGTGTATCCGATTAAGTGATTCAAAAAATATTCGATTCGTATTTATGGGAAAACGTGCAATTTAGGTTTTGCTAATGCAGTTCCAGCCGTTTCGGAGTTACGGAGCAAAAAGTGCAAGATAATAGCAGCTATTAAGAGAAAGGAACATCTAATTGAAAAACATTTTGCTTGTGTTGACAGTGTAAAGAAACGATTAGTTTTTGAAGAAAGCCAAAAAAAAATATTTATTTCAAAATTTCAAAATGTTTTTTTTTTAATTATCATATCTCTAAAATTCTTCGGATTTCAATTTTAATTCAGACTAAAAATATTTAAAATTTTACGAATATTTCATTACGGTACGGAAAGTTCGAGCAATTTGCCATAAGGCACGATGCCATGCACCACTAGTTTTTCAAATTATGCTTCTGAAATTACGGCGTACCTTAGAAAAAATTAATGTATGTGTGTGTGTTTGTGTGTGCGGATACAATTTTTCGTCGACGATTTCTGGAACACGGCTCGACCGATTTGAGTACTTCAAAAAATATTCGATTGGTATTGATAGGGAGACGTACACAAAAAATATTGTTCTCTCAATGTAGTGCGATCGGCTTATGGAAACAAACTAACTGACTTTAATGATTCATGTGTAACACACATGTGTTCAAATAATAAT